CCGTTTCCCTGGTGACAGAGACCCACTTGCTGAGAGAACACACCTGCCTAGATGTCTGAGCTGCCAAACTGCCATCCCTGAATGTCATGTGTGTGCACACGCATGTGTAAATCACTGGAAAAACACCACGAGGGCCGTTCCAGCCTTGCATTTTGTTAAAAAATAAGCAGAAAATGGCCCGATCTCATGAGCTAGCAACACCAGAATGAGCGTAGATGGGCCTAGGTAATAATTCAGAGGGGGCAGAAGGACACACGGTTTGGGTTCATCACTGTGTTTTGTCAGGAGGCGTACATCATGGAAACCCAATGAAAAGCTTCGGCAATGTTGAGGGTCCTATCTCAATGTGACTATAAAGAGCTCTCCACCACTAAATGCCATGATGCAAATGCAAGATGATTTTCCATCCATAAAAGCCATTTCTACTTGGTAATGAAGCAGGATTGGAATCAAAAATAGAAAAGCAAATTGCCTGCCTTAGGAGGAGAATGTAATAGAAATGGCTTTCAAGTGCTCATTTTTGGTCTTTATATGTATGTATGTATGTAATTTGTATATATTTTCTGCTTCTAATACACTACACTAAGATAGGCCATCCACGCTGTTAATGTCTTGTATTGGTAAGAGTCCAATCAAATGTTAAAAAATAGAATGTGCTGAGATCTTGAATTGGGTGGACTGGTCAAGCCTTGTGTTTATTAGTTGTTATGATTATGATTATGATTTTGTATAGAATGTCACCAGAGAAGGTGACGTGGCTGGGTCCTGGATCTTCGGAAATGAAGCGATGTCCAGAGATACATGTATTGGGGCTGCCTGTGGCAAGAGACCATCGAGAAATCCAAGGTCAAGGGACTAAGGCTGCCCTGGAATGTGGAGGTGAGGAGGCAGCAACTGGGTCTCCCCTCAGCCCTGGAGAATCCCATCAAAATTAGGCCACGCTGTCAGTATCACTCGGGGACCACTTGGGATGTCACTAGAGACGTGCATTTCTAAATTAGAGTAAACCATCAGAAAGGAGGAGAAAGGATTGTGCTACACAGCAGTCCTGCCTAGTCAACTCTGCCCCAGGGCCTGATGGGTCACTTCGAACCCGTCACAAGTTCAAAGAGCAGCAGAATAGCATCCAGGGAAAGAGGGGCATGGATTCCTGGCACAGTGCTTCAGCCTGTAGGACTTTTTGATGATTAGAAAGACACGAGCACTCAGTTTTCGTTGAGTTTCTGCCACCTGAACATTCGCAGAGATTCATAGCAATTCTAAATTGTCCTGTGTGTTTTATGTAAACCCAGGAAGGGAGACACGTTCAGGTGACACGTGCAGTGTTGATGTGGTTGAGTAAAAAGTGTTATGAACTCTTTAAAGACTCTAGTGAATTACAATAAATCTGATCTATAAGGGTAAACACAATGCTAATTTACTAAGGCAATCAGTCAATTCCCCAGGGATCATCAATGCCCCCCTTTCCCAGCAGGTGGCGGTAGTAGCATTTATCATGGTCGTACATCACCTTGATTTTTGTAGACTTTCTCTCACTCACTAGAGTGCAAATTTCCAGACAATAATGTTTGGCTCTTGTCGGCGGTGGTGCCTGATTCTTTCCACAATATCTCACGCTGGCCTTTGCATGCCCGGCAAACAACAATGAAATGAAGGGAAGCGTTGAGACTGAAAAACAGCAAATTCTCTTCACCACTAAGATGATCCTTGTGGAGGAACATTCAAGTGGAAGGGCTGGGAACTGCACCCAGAAACTTTCTTGCCAAGAGGCAGGGACCTAAGACAGAACAAAGATTGTCAAAAAGTAGACACCACTGCCATGTGCCAGCCACATGCAGTTCCTTCACACATAACAGATCTTCTGAACATCCTCCAGATGTGGTTATTTTTATGAACTTATGTTTTCTATAACTGAGATTCTTCCAGTGTAAGGAATTTGCCAAACACTCACATTTAGTAATGGTGGAGCTGCTACACCAGACTCAACTGGGCTTTGGGCTTCGGGAGTAGTGATCTCCTCTGTTTGGCAATCAACTTGGGCTTAGGTTAGGGTTTTTCAGAAAACCTTATCATCTTTTTTCATTTGCCCTGTGGCTCTTTCAGGAAGCAATGGAAGGACAGTCAGGGAAATGCAAAGTTCTCGAAACAACCCTGGCATTGAGATATCTGAAGAGAGCTGACTATGAAGGCTGGTAGCACTTTGAGGTGGATTACTTTGTGAACTTTAGGAACGCTGAATTGGCGTAAGGCCCTGGTTCTCAACCAGGGGTGATTTTGTCTCCCACCCCCACCCCCCACCCCCAGGGGATATTTGGCAACTTTTAGAAGCATTTTTGGTTGTCACAACTCGGTATATGACCAGCATCTAGAGGGTGGAGGCCAGGAATTCTGCTAAACACCCTACAATACTCTCAACAGCCCCACGTGACACAGAATTACCCCGCCACAAATGTCTCTACTGCTGAGGGTGAGCAACCCTGTTATGAGGTGTGGCTATATTTCTTGTATCGTTGGAAGCTAATTTTGGGGTGGCTTTAGCTAAATTGGTTATGACTCAGGGAGCGTGGGTTTAGAATAGATATGGTTGCATAAAATTGATTGCTTTTGTTTCAGCGTTGACGTTTCCTCCTGTATGAGTGAATCACCTGAATTTGGAGGGTGGACTAATTTTACTTCTTTCTGGCCTAACAGAGAGCCCTGCATCCAGAAGACAAAGCACCAGAGCTTGCCGGAGAGAAGCTCCACCCTCTGGAAAAAGGAATCGAGATGTGGGGAAATGAGGCAGTTTCAAAGGAGTGTCATGCGAGAAACAGCTGAACATCCAGGTGGTTTTTAGGGGTTTATCTGAGCCAAGCTGACAGCAGTTGCTGGGATGCTGAGTCTCACTGGACTGAGAAAACGCTCCAGATAATGGTGGTTTTGCAGCTTATTTTCTACAGTAGAGTCAAAGGGGAAGACAACGGAGGGTTACATGAACTCTTTTGGTAGATTAGTGAGGGAGGGAAAGCAAGGCAGGGAAATCTCTGGGATGGGATAAAGAGTAAAATGGAAACACGCTTCTTTTACATTGGAGGGTGCAGGGCAGTTAAGAATGAATGTTTCCAGCACATAGAGATGGGTATTCAGGGAACAAGATAGCAACGAGGGGCTCTGTGGTCAGGGGCTCTGGTGCGATGGGTGGGCCCTGAGGGTCTGGAAAAAGAGATTGCTTTGATATTCTAAAGCTATGTTATTTTAGATGTAAAACGACAATGAAAGGGCTTATTGAAGGTACAGACTGATCTTTGTCAAGGCAGCCACCGGCCTAGGGTGGGACTGTTCACACTGACCCGCTTTTTGTAGGAATTTTTGTGTTCAGACCAGCCCGTGTTATTATTACTTTGGTCTCTGAGTTTGCAAGGCCCAGCGTGCAGGCCTCCCCTGAGATGTCAGGTTTACTCTGTGGCCCCTGGTTTCCTCTACAGGAGGGCGGTTACAAAGCTTCCTTCACTACCCCACCCCCACCTTGGTCCAGGTTAATGTGCATTTCAATGACAACGTAATACAACTAAAGATTTTGTTTAACCTTTAAGCTTCTCCAATGCTTGTTATGTTTGTTGGCCTAGTGGAAATCCTGTCATTACTAATGTGCTGTATGTATGTTTTTTACTCTGAAGTGAGGAGGCTTGGGGAGTGCTCAAGTAAGGAGGAAAAGGGGAGGGTCCCAGTGGAGGAACCTACATTCTGTGCTGGGAGGGACAGGCAGATAAGGGACCAGGCCTGGTGGCTGAGAAAGGGGGCTGGAGAGGGCGAGTAGGGGAGCCGTGGGGCCTGGAGACTTAACTGCGGGAGCACAAGTCAACCTCCATCCCGCAGGGACCCGGGCTCATCGGCCTCCACTCCATCCTGCTGCTGTTCTTGGAGGTGGTTGGCCCAGCTCAGGAAGCAGGGGCTGAGGCGGCTCTTTGAGCCAGGCTGGTCCCCTTTCCGACCCGGAGGGGGGTCGGAGCTCCCCTCCCAGGCACACACACGCCCAGCAGCGGGCCTGCGGGAGCTGTCCGTGGTGCTGAGCCCTGTCTTTGTCCTGGCCGGAGCCGCAGCCCAAGTCGAAGGCTCAGGGTGTCCCTGGGAGGGTGAGGGCGCGAAGGTCCGAGGCGAGCTGGGGCTCTACGTTTGAAATCTCTGTCGGAACCTCCTCCGTTCCTCTCTCAACCGCGGCCTAAACTCTACGCAGCATCCAGAGCCGAAGGACGGGTCCCGCATCTCTCTCCCACCCACCCTGGTGCATCTCAGACCCCCACCCCACTTCCTCCCTTGCTCCTTCCGCAGCGAAACTGCACCAGGTCATCCCGAGAGAACTGGCGCTTCTCACCCCACTGTCCCCTCGTCCGCCCCCTTCTCCCGAGCGGGACTCTCCTAGGGCGCAGCAAAGCTCCCGCAGTAGAGACTCTCTGCTGCCCGGGGTTGTCGGCCCCCTCCTCCCTCTCCTGTTTCCGTTCTCCTCGCGCTCGCCCTTCTCTCTTGCTGTCTAAGCACCGCCCTTATTTTTCCATACAAGGGAGCCATGGCGTGGGGGCGGGGCAGGGAGGAGGCGCTCCCCGCGCCCCTCAAAAGCTGCGAGCCCACTGGCAACTCGTGAATCTTCTGTTCAGCTCCAGCGGAGAAACGCGAAGCCTGCACCGCAGGTGTGGGCAGGGGACCTCCAGGGGCCAGCGGGGAATCTGTCCCTCCCTCTCCGAAGCACTTTCCCGCTGCGAAGCCACACTTCACAGGTAGGACAGTGCTCCTGGGTCCCGCTTGCGTGGACTGCGAAGGCTCAAAATGGACTACAAGGCGTCTAAATAACCAGTGCACGTGTAACCTGTGCATAAATTTATTCTTGCAGGGGTGGGATGATGGCACTTTTTATCGCTGTTGTGTATTTTGGCCAAAGGGAGTATTTGGGCAACGGGGGAGGGGATAGGAGGGGGCAGAGAGAGAATGGGAAGTGACGGGCTTTGATTCTCTTTGGATAGGTGTCCATGGCCTCACCGCCGACTCGGGATCCCCCAGTCCCTGACTTATTTTCTGGACAGCCACCGGTGGCCTCAACTCCGGCCAACCAGAGCGCAGAGGCCTCGGAGGGCAATGGGTCGGTGGCGGGTCCCGGCTCTCAGGCTGTCACGCCATTCCAGAGCCTGCAGCTGGTGCATCAGCTGAAGGGGCTGATCGTGCTGCTCTACAGCGTCGTGGTGGTCGTGGGGCTCGTGGGCAACTGCCTGCTGGTGCTGGTGATCGCGCGGGTGCGCCGGCTGCACAACGTGACCAACTTCCTCATCGGCAACCTGGCCTTGTCCGACGTGCTCATGTGCACCGCCTGCGTGCCGCTCACGCTGGCCTACGCCTTCGAGCCGCGGGGCTGGGTGTTCGGCGGTGGCCTGTGCCACCTGGTCTTCTTCCTGCAGCCCGTCACCGTCTACGTGTCGGTGTTCACGCTCACCACCATCGCGGTGGACCGCTACGTCGTGCTGGTGCACCCGCTGCGCCGCCGCATCTCGCTGCGCTTCAGCGCCTACGCCGTGCTGGCCATCTGGGCGCTGTCCGCGGTGCTGGCGCTGCCCGCCGCCTTGCATACCTACCACGTAGAGCTCAAGCCGCACCGCGTGCGCCTCTGCGAGGAGTTCTGGGGGTCCCAGGAGCGCCAGCGCCAACTGTACGCTTGGGGGCTTTTGTTCGTCACCTACCTGCTTCCCCTGCTGGTCATCCTCCTGTCCTATGTCCGAGTATCGGTGAAGCTGCGCAACCGCGTGGTGCCGGGCAGCGTAACCCAGAACCAGGCCAACTGGGACCGCGCGCGGCGCCGACGCACCTTCTGCCTCCTGGTGGTGGTTGTGGTCGTGTTCGCCATCTGCTGGTTGCCGCTGCATGTCTTCAACCTGCTGCGGGACCTTGACCCCCGCGCCATTGACCCCTACGCCTTCGGGCTGGTGCAGCTGCTCTGCCACTGGCTCGCCATGAGCTCAGCTTGCTACAACCCCTTCATCTACGCCTGGCTGCACGACAGCTTCCGCGAGGAGCTGCGCAAGCTGTTGCTCGCCTGGCCCCGCAAGATCGCGCCGCACGGCCAGAACATGACAGTCAGCGTGGTCATCTGATGCTCCGTGGCACCAGGCCTGGGCTGGGGAGCTCCATGTCCACTGGGTGCCTGCTGAGGCTGGACTGGAGAGGTTGTTCCCAGCACCAGAGCTGAGCCGGTTCAGACAAGACCTCCAGCTCAGCCCTCTTGTCCAGTGGCCTTGCCTTGTCCTTGAGTCTGTGTAGATGTTAAGTGAGCTTTGTCACAAGTGCTTTGCTTGGAGAAGGCGGGGAGAGGAAAATAGATCTATAATTTTCTCTTTATGTTTTGAAGGCTGATCAAAGCTCTTTCTCCCGTATTTCAGAGCCGTAGCTGCCTCCCTTGCTTTTCCTTGTGTTTGCTAAGTGGTGAGATGAAAAGGAACGATGGATATAGGATTTAAAGTAGCTGCCCTAGAGTAGGTAAAGCTTTTCAGGTCGCCTTTTAAAAAGGACATAACCAAGATGTAATACCTGCCATTGCTTAGTTAATACGAACACACTTATTTCTAAGAGTTCCAGGGAAATAAGTATTACCAATCTATGTCTAGGAGCTTAGCATTTTCTGAATAAGACCTTTCTACATCAAAGGGGTTTTAATTTGAGATCCACTTGCATCTATAGTACAAACACTTACAAACTACCTTTCAGAAGGTCTTGCTATCATTTTCCCCCTCCTTATGCCCAACTTTTATTTGAAAGTGTTTAGCTAACTTAGTCAACAAAGAGAGAGGAATAGAAATAAAGAGGAAAATGTACCAGTCGCGTAAGGGGACATATAGCCGTGTATAGGACAGACATGCTATATGGGTGTGTGTTGGTGTATATGCACCCCGTGTTTGCCACAGACTTGGCTCTCACACATTGCTTTTCTGAGTGCTCAGTGTCAGCCGTGTGCCCCTGCATCCCCTGCATTCTCCAGTCGCCCCGTTTTGGCAGGACCCGGTACTGTCTTCCAGCTGCCAGGCTCCTGCTCTGTAGCAACACTACTTGGAACATGATCGACCCAGAATGCAAGGACTGGGAGAAATAAGCTGTCACTCACAGGATGCACAGGTCTGTGACTGGGAACAAGTGCCCTGTGACTGGTTTCCACATTGATGTGGGGGCGGTGACCGGGCAGTGAGGGCAGGCGTTATAGGAAATGACACGTGGCATCCAGCTCTCGGATCAGTGCCCGTGGCATGCAGGGCATGAACTAGCATCTGCAGCTACTCAGTCACCATCTGCAAGACTTCAGCATGGCCACAGCTCACTGAACAGCAGAGCCCATGCTTCCCCAGCTCTCCCTGCTCTTACTCTCAGAAATGAGCTCATTCACTCATTAAGGTGTGCCCTGAAGTGAAGCAAAACAAGCGGTGATTTGGGGAGGACAAGGGTGAGATCCTATTACTCCAATGTCAACAATCGTGATGGAAGAGTGAGTATTTGTGGCTGGGCTCGTTATCAGTATGAGACTTCGGTACTTATTCGTCTGCAGTGTTTGAGGAGTTGGAAAAGCCTGGCTTGGGAGACAGGAAAAGGCAGGTTAACTTGGGAGAGGCAGGTTACCTTTGGTGATGGCAATGAAACTGACTACCAGCTTCATCTATGGATGTGGAGAACAAGAGCGTGTGCTCTAAGAATGCAGCCCGCCCACATCACGGTGTCACTCTCCTGCCCCAGGTGAGCTCATCTCCTAGGCATCCCAGGGACTGGCTCCTGCCTTTCCAGCAGCTCCTTATTGGGAGGCCCAAGGCCGTGCATTTCCCATTTCTTTGGAGCAATCTTTGGAGGGGTATGTGTGAGGAGCGGAGGCAGTGGAGGAAAGGGTGGGATTAGTTGGGGCTTCGCTGTTCATTCTTTGTCGCAAGTTTGAATTCACTGGATCTCAGCCCTGGCAGCTCCCAGAACCACCTGGGGAGATTTTGGAAGACATCAGCGCCTCGCCCTGTCCTCAAGAGTCCAGTCGGTTTGAGATGGGGCGGGGCCTGGGTTTTTCAAAGCACTTCAGTTGGTTTTAATATGCTTTCCAATATTAAGCTCCTCAGGTTAAGGATAAAAAAATGATCTTTTAAATGAATTTCAGAAACATCTGAATGAAGCTTTAATTGTACCTGTCACAGGTCTTAAGAATTGACGTTGAATTCTGACGAGTTACAAGGCACACTTGGGAAATATTCTTTTAGCCTTCAGGCAATACCTGCTGAATCACAAGAGACAACTTGTTGTAATCAGAAATACATAGGTGTTCGTTCAACATTTGCCTCCCACATCTCCTGTGGGTAAGGCACTGCGTGAGTCCAATCAGATCAAATGCAGTATAAAGTCATACACCATGAATTGTTCCAAATCCAGAAATTGAAGTGCCTCCGGATTAGCTTGACGTACGTCTGTGCGAACGGTGAGAGGTGTCCTGATAATTACTAGGAAAGCTGCTGTCTGTTTCTGCCATGTTCTATTGCTTAAACATTGAACATTTATATGAATTCCATGAGGAGCCTAAAGAGATTGGAGAAGTATGCTGTGCTTATAAATATCCTTACAAATTAGGCCCATGGGCAGATACACAGCAACTAATTCATTCTTACCCTATCCGAAATCTGTTTGGGGCTAGTTCGAGTATAAAACAAACTAACTAAAAAAATCTTTCAGATGTGAGTCCTAGAGAAATCCACAGAGGATTGAGGTGGAAAACTTTATTTCATATAATTCGCTTTAGGCACTACCACGCCTCCAGTCCGCTTTCTGCAAGGAGCCAATCTGGCCGTAGCACCGGGAACTGCGCCAGCCCGAGACTCGGCAGCGGCCCTTTCTGAAGCTGATGTGAGGTTCTGTAATCCTCTCTGCAGTCATTGTCACCAGTCTCACTTGGGGCAGCCGGTCAATAGATTTATCTCACTACATCGGCTGGGGAGTGTTTCCAAATGTGTGGGCAACAGTTACCAGAATTAGCAACCGTGAGAGCTGCTAAAAGTCTCAGGGACGCAGCCCTCCTGAATGTTGCTCTTGTGGGTCTTCAGCCTGCTCTCCTATGGGGGGCTGTTAAGTTTCGGGTTTGTTTTCTCAGGTGGGCTGGTTAACCACCTCTGTTCCGTGGTTTGCATTCCTGAACATCGAGTAGTCTTGGAAAGGCAAGTGATAGAACCGACCTCAAGGAGACCCAGGCAAAAGTGTGGTTAGATCTGGGAGCGAGCCCAGGGTCCATCCCCCACAACTGAGATGTCAGGAGCACCTGTGTTCCCCAAGGGACTTTTCCGGTTGATTTTCCTTCATGTGTGATGTCTTCATGTGTGCACTACGCATGTGTGGCTGCCTCACTGTGAGGCTCTTCAGGCTGGGGCTTGTACTGTGTTTGACATGTTTTGGGTGCTCAGTAAATATTACATCAGTAGTACGGTCTCTGGCCATGGAATAAATAAACCAAGCCAGTTACACACGCAGTGTAACTACACAACTTCGGGTTGGCCGGGGTTAAAGCAAGGATAAATCAGGCCCCGAAAGACAAGCTACTTAATCTAGATTTATCAGTTTCAGGAACTCTGGGAGTAAACTGTTATTTGGGGTCTTCTGTGAACCCCCAGAGGCCCTCTCAGCAACGACAGCCTTGCAGGGCATAGCACCAAGCTCTGAGACGGCGTGCACCTAAATCCACCGGCCCAGCAAAGGGATAGTAGAGAACTTCAGGACTGATTTCTACATCATCATGACTCTGGCTCGTTCTTTAAATGTTAGCATTTACTCCTCTTCTTCCACATATAGCTTGAAAATTTTTAAAGCACTCAGCACTTGAGCCTATGAACAAAATTGATCATTGAGATTGTACCACATTCATAACAGTCATAAACAGGATTTTCTGGTACATCTAAAATAAAAGCTAAAAATGGACCTGGCTGGTGTGGCTCAGTGGATTGAGCACCGGCCTGCGAACTGAAAGGGCACCAGTTCAATTCCCAGTCAGGACACATGCCTGGGTTGTGGGCCAGGTCCCTGTTTGGGGATGTGTGAGTGGCAACCAATTGACATTTTTCTTGTACATCGATATTTCTCTCCCTCGCTTTCTTCCCCCCCATCCCCTCTCTTTAAAAATAAATAAAATCTTTATAAGAAGTTAAAAATGGATTTATGTACACCTTTCCAGGGATCCATATATTTTGCTAAATGAGATAAGCCAGTTTACAGATGTTGGAAATACAAAGTATTTATTTGGGTGGGTGAGAACAGCAACTTGATTTGCTGAAAGACCACATAGACCCAATCAGTCTTTGGGAGCAGAAAGCCTTATTTTGGTTTGGGTGTGCACAGTTCCCACAGGGTTTGAATGATTTTTCTCTGCTTTCCGACTCAGTTCCTTGCATGTCCCATTCTTTATTTCTCTCTCCTGCCTTTTCTTCTGCTACTTTCCCCACATTATCTATTAAGTACCTCCGATCTGAAGCTGCCTCCCCCCCAGTGGAGGACAGCTGGTGGGTCCAAGCAGCCATCTTCCTGTGAGTCCTCCCAAGGTGAGTCCCGTTGAGCCCGCCCACTTCCATCGCAGAGGGCGGGCCGCACCAGACACGTGCAGGGCGGCTGTCATTGTGTTTCCTGCCTGCTCTGGGGTCTTGGCGCTCGGACAATGGACTCCTTCGCAGATGATGGGGAGCGGAGGTGGACACCTGCAGTTTGGACGGAGTCTCTGCAGGGCCCGAACATCAAATAATCTTATGTGATAAATCTAGAGAGCTTGCAAGAAGGGCCTCACAATGAGAGGTCAGATGCGTTTCATTTAGATGTTGGAGGCGCAGACGCCTAAACCTGGATAAGCAAATAACAAAAGAGTTTTTTAGTCATTCCCTGCTGCCCTCCCCTGGCTCTCAAAAGATCCTCTTCTTCACTTACTGGTCACTAAATCCTGGCCTCCTCCCACCCCTGAGTCTACCTCCTCCTTCTGCAGTGGCCTCTGATGATGAGTGGAAAGCTACCTTCTTCCCCATCACATGTGGTGAGTTATTGCCAAGTTATAATAATTTTTAAAAAATCCTCTGAGCTGGAAACATTAACTAAGAACTCCAGGCCTGAG